GCGTGGTGGAGGGCAAGGCTGGAGCCCGGCGGGCGGACGAGAGGTAGGGAGCGCAAACCTCGGCGGCAAACCCACCAGCGGCCGCTCAGGCTAACCCCGAGGGGCGAGCGAGCCATGCCAGGGACGTGCCACCACCCCTGGGTGCAGAGCTGCACCCTTAGCCCTGCAGGCCCTCCCCCCGGGAAAGGGCTGCAAACGGGGTGGGGGAGCGAGATGCAAAGTTTGGGGTAAGTTTGAAGTCAGGCATCCCTCCTGCCTTCCCTGTCGCCTTGCTTTGCCTGTCCCAGTGCCGGGAGAGGGGGAAAGCCCTGCAGATGCAGCGCCCCCCGTTAAGTGAGAGGGTGATGGGGTACAGCATCACTTGGAGCCCTCTGCTTTCGGTACCCAACTCTCCGGGTCGGTAAGCTGCGTGTTTGGTACCCCCCAGCACTACCTCCTCCTGCAAGCAAGTGGAAAAGACTTGGCGCATGGGGAAAAGCTGGGGAGCTCCAGGGAAGCATCACTAAGCAGGATGGGGAGGGGAGAAGAGCGCTGCTTCTCATCTGAGCTGTATTACAGGCACAGAAATGCCAGAAAAAAAGCCTTTTCTTTGCAGGGATTTGAGAAAAAGGGGGAGAGCATAAGGAAAAACTCCTGCCAAACTTGCCAGCCGTGCCAGGCCAGGCAGGCAGCGCCTGGTGCTGGGCAGAGTAACGCTTGCTGTCTTCTGCTCACGCACAGGAGTCATTTCTCTGTCTTTCCACCTTCCTCAGGAGCAGTTTGCCTCTTCAAACTCTCTTCTTTACCCCTTCTCTGCCTCGTGCCCGGTGCTGGGTCCTGAGCGCTCGTGGGGATGTCGGTGAGGGATGACAGGCTGGGCAAGCCTGTTGTTAACCCGGCTAAAAAAAAGTCACCACGCGGAGGTACTTTGCAAGGAATTTCCCAGGTTTTTAGTGGCTCTGTTTCTGGAAGGGCTTAGAGATCAAGTGTCGGACAGCCCGGACCTTCCCTGAACCCGCAGCTCTGCCAGGCGAGCTGGGTGTGAGGAGAGGATGGCTGGGAAGTGAGAGGAGAAGAGAGGATGGCTGGAAAAGCTTGGGAAAACATCAGTGTGATCCAACCTAATGGGTTTCTAGGGGATTCAGTCAGGTGGCTCTAAAAGAAGAGCCCTACAGTCACACCCAGCAGAGCAAAAAAAACATCTCAAAGAAATTACCCACGCCTCCCGGCTCGCTCTTCACAAACAATTTAAGGTCACCCAGCCAAACCACGTGCGGTCAGTGAATGCCAGCACTAAGGTAGCTGTGGTAACCTTGATTCAGGCTGCCTTTGGTGTGGGCAGTAAGCAGCAGCCCTGCCTGCTGGGTGTCGTGCCCTGTCCCCGGGCAGCGCACAGGAGCAGCTTGCCTACGGAGCAGGGAGATCCCTGGGATGGCTGGGGCTGCCCGGTTCCCAAAGCTGAAGGGGAAGGGTCTGAGCCAGGCAAGGAGAGGGTGCACGATAAAGAAACTTCTTTGGAGTGAAGAGAGGTAAAACATCACTTTGGAGGAGAGGATGAGACCCCCAGTCCCCGAGCCTGCTTGCAGCACTCACGGGGATTCGTCTGAGCGTTTTCTCAGATGCTGACACATCTGATTTTTGCATTTCCCATTTTCTGAGCACAGACCGGGCTCTGACCCACATCTCCCCAGAGCCTGGTCCCCAGGCTGATAGTCCTTGCCCTGAGGTTGCCAGCATCACAGCTTTGAATGCTCAGGCAATGCAAAGCCTTCCAGAAATAAATCACATCTCCCCACGTGCCTCAAACCCAGCACCCAGCTCCAGTGGAAACATCTGACCTTATTCCCTCTGTATCTCCACTCACCACCTGCAAGGGGAGGAGCACGGCTCCTCCAGCAGCCATCTGTCCCCTCTGGGACCAGGCAGGGTCCCTCAAGCCGAAGCTGGGCGCTCCCCTATGTAAGCACAGAAGTACGGTTGGGGCACGGCACCCCGAGTTTGAGGACTCCTTAACCTCTGAGCGCTCAGCCTTGCAGCTCTCGCAGTGTTTGCTTAAGGTTGCTTCCTCCTGCGTAATCTGGACGGTGAGCGATGCTTGACTCTCCTGACGCATCGTCCCGGGCTTGTCTACACCAGGGCATCTCATAGTTTCCAATTAATGATTAAAGATATGTCACCGATGTCTTCTCTCCCCTTTTTTGAATGCTTTACTGGTGAAAGTCTGGCTGCTGCCTACAAAAACCTGTATGGTTTTTTTGAAGGTGGCTGCAAGAGCAGACCCAGGGACCCTGACAACCTGCCACCTGCCAAGTCCCTGCAACCCTGCCTTTTGTCTCCTAAACTCTTAATTTTAAATTTGCTCAACCCAAATCTCTACTTTCTCATTGCAGAGGGTTGGCACAGCAATATTTCCCCAGCCCTTATCTGGGAATGGGTGCAGGAGGGTGCAGGAAGCAAAAAAGATGGGTGCAAACTGCTCCAGGGATGCAAGCCGGGTGGGATCTGACCTGGTGGGGAAAGGATGGACGGTTGCCATTTCTTGCTGATGAGGCTTTGGGAAGCTGGCTTGCACCACTGTTTGCAGATCTGGCAGAGAAACGCGGGGCATGTCTGAACCTGAAATCAGGTCAGCAGAACGCCTATACCCAAGAGGATTTTCGGCACAAGCAGGGTGAGTGCGTTAGGCTTAGCCCCTGCAATAAAACATAAAGGCAATCCTACTGCAATACTGCAGCTCGATGGGGAGTTATCTGGGTGGAGGTTCAAGCAACTATCCATTTTCTTCGGGGGAAAGAGAATAATCAGAAAAAAACCCCTAATTATAGCCAATTCAATAAAATCATATTGCTGGGGAATAGAGCAGAACCAAACCCCAGCACCTTGGGGGGGAGTATATGGTTATTTATCGCTTCCAGGAAAGCCTCATGCAGCATGTGTGTGTGTGTTCCTTACAGGTGTCATCACTGGGGCTGTGGTACCGGGCACAGGTACTACCTGTGCTAGATTTCTCTGCCAGATGGTTTTTGCACTTAGTTCAGGGCAGTATTTGCAGGTACAAATCCCACCTCTGTGCTTTGCCTGCTGGCAAAGCACGCAGACTCCTCCTGTCTCCCTGTGTCACAGAAAACACAGCTGTGAGGACCCTGGACATCAAGGCAAGCCAAAAATCCATCAGCTTGGACAGAGAGTGGCTGTCTGTCCAGCTTCTAGGTGGCAATCACCAGTGTCACTTCTCTGTGTCATCTTGTGCACTGCAGGGAGGATGAGCACAGAGGAGGCTGGCAAGGGGACTTCTCCCACCCCACCTCTCCTTGGGCTTCTGGTTTCAACCACCAAGCTGGTCCCACCCAGTCCCGCATCCCCCGAGAAGGCAGACCCACTGCCCATCATCATCATGCTCATCTGCATCTTCATCATCCTGGCGACCTTCCTCGTCTTTGTCACCCTCTGCAAGCCAGCGGCGCTGGACCCGTCCCGCTCCGGGCCCCACGAGTGCATGCCCCATCACCCGGCGGATGCCAGTGAGCCCCAGCTGAGGCTCTGGAAGCGGCTGGGCTCCCTGCGATGCTCCATCAACACCTTCAGGAGGAGTCAGCCGGTGTCGCAGAGCCAGCTCGCCTGGCCCAGGAGGTCCCCAGCCAGCCGGGACTGGGACATCATGGAGTCCACCAAAATGTGACCCTGCGCTGCGGGAACTAGCTCACCCCACATCGTTATTCTTTCCCCAGCTTTTGGTGCAGGCTCAATTCCCTCCTCAAGAAGATCCTGCTATCCCGGCCATCCCAGCAGAGCCCCTTTCCGTTTCCAGCTCATTTCCAGGCAGCTGCTCTGCATGGCGACAGGAGATTTTGCTATTTCAGGTTCCCAAACGCTTTCCAGGTTACTCTTTCCTGGCAGGAAAGGTGGAGGCATCCAAACTACACCCACACTCAGCTATCACGGGGCAGTCCAAAAAAGATATTGCCGCCTAATTTCTTTTGGAAAACATTGCACAAGTTGCGAGGCACCTGAACAAACAGCCTGGGCGAGCGCAGAGCAACCCGGCTGCTTGAGGAGAGGTATCCTGGAGCAAACACGCTCCACAAAAAGCATTCCTCAGCCGAGACTGCCCCCTCCCAACCCGGGACGTGCTCCCGAGCAGGTAGAGGATGGCTTGTGTCCCCTCTCCTGCTGTGCTGCCTGGTCCCTGTGCCCCTCTTCCCCATGCAAGGAGCTGTGGGTTGCTGCGGTCGATGCTGGGAAGGATGCGTGCTACAGCTCTCTGCTGGAAACCTGCTTCAATACAACGGCCAGCAGGTCATCTGAACTGCCCGAAGGAAACAGTAGGAAAAAGAAAAAGTGGTTTAATTCTTCCAAGTGTGTGGCTCGTGCTCAGCTCAGCCACTGAATTCCCTCCTTTTGGAGGAAGTCTCCATGTCCAGCGAGGCCCCGTGATGAGCCAAACCTCATCTCTCTGGGTTTCATGTGGTTTTGACCCTCACAGGGTGCAGATCAGGACCTTGCCAGGCTGCCTGGGACATTCCCGCTCTCCTCTGGCCCTGGGTCAGCTGGCTTTTGGAGAAGGGGGTGGAGAAACCTTCAGAAACTCTCTTGTTGCCACGGGGACATGGGGATGTATTTGAAGAGGGAGCTATTCAGAACAAATGGTTTGCAGTAAAGGAGTAAATTAAAACAAACCCAAGTGATTGCCCATTTTCTGTTCCCTCTGATTTGGTTCTGTGGAAAACAAAATTCCCTGAAATGCCACCCCTCTGTTGCCAGACTGCCAAGGACATATCCCTCTTCTGGGAAGTGTGCTCTGAGAGTTGGGACTTGGATGTCAGCCTCGGGTTTCCGCCATTCACAGTCTTCCCAATTCGCCAAAACAGCTCAGTTTTGGGAGCCCCACGGCTGGGCTCCTCTCAGCCTGCAGGGATTGCAGGCAGATGCCTGACCCCGCAGACAGCCATGGTGCTGCGGTCATCACGCACCCCATGCCACGGCGTAAGAGGTGACGAGGAGCCGCGGGGCTCACGCTTGGGGACCGGCCGCCCCGAGTATGACACACGGCTCCCGGCAAAGCTTTGTTGCAAGAGGCAAAAGGCTTCCTTTCTTCTCTCCCTGCCCAAAAGAGCCAGGGACAAAGCTTTCCCTTTCTCCATGCCGGGAGAGGTATTCAAGGTAGGAGGAGCCTTCCCAGGGCCCTCTGCAAAGAGCCTTTGGTGCCTGCTCCAGAAGAGCCCTGGGTTTGAAGGGATGCTGGAAGCCCTCGGAGGCGCCGTGAATGCCCGCATTCATCCAGCGCTCACTGAGCCATTCAGCTCTGCCCACCGCTCTCTCAAAGAGGAACAAAAATGAAAGCAAAGCCCAAATGCTTTTCTCCCTCCATCCCGCCCCCCCTCCCCAGAGCATCTCTGCATGCGCTCTTGGAGAGCGCCGCTCTCAGCCCCTTTGCTGGGAGGAGGGAGAAAGAGGGGACGCAGCCAGGCGAAGGGGCTTGGGTTTGCTCCTCTCACCCCCTGCAGAAATGGGGTGAATTCCTTCTTTTTCCCTCACGTTTTGCTGTCTTCTCCCCAGCGCTCACAGCAAAGGAGCAGGGGAGCATACAAGGAAGAAGATAACCTTGCGCTGGCCCAGGGGAACAGACTGATGATGGGGAGGGAAAAATCTCTGCCCTGGGCTTCCTGCGGCTCACTGCTGTGGTGCCAGGGCCCAGAGAGCGGGGGACCCCCTTCACCCCTGCAGGGACCCGGCAGAAGGGAGCCACGTGCCTGCACTATGCTGCTGGCAGCCGGGATATCCTCAGGGACGCTGACTTCGTAGCTGCTCTGAAGGAAGATGGGGCGGTTGTCGTTGACATCCAGGATGGTCACATAGACAGTGGCAGTCCCAGTGCGCCGGTTCCCCGTGGGGCCGTTGTCTGTACAGGAGAGAAAGGCGAGGGGAGGTTTGGTCACCTCCATCTCCTCCTTGCACAGCCTTTGGCTGCTGAAAGTAACCGTACCAAAGTTTCTAAACTAAAACCCTCCGTCTTTTCTGCAGCTTCCAAACCCCACACTGAACCACAAGGGTTTTTTCTGCCTATCCTGAAAGAAAAAGGCAAACCACCCCCAAGCTCTGCCATGGAGCCCAGTGGAAATGCAACCAGTCATTAAAGAGGGTTTGCAACTCCACAGACTAAGAGGGTGATGCGAGCTGGAAGGGACTGCTGGCGGTCAGGGATTTGGGAGAGGAAGATGGGCAGGGGGCTGATGGGTTTTCTGTAGACCCAGCTCACAGCCAAAGAGCGCCAGGACCGTTGATGTTCAGTAGATAAGGACGTGGCAGCGTGGCTCTTGGCTTTGCCATGAAGGATGAGGCAACGAGCAGTACAAGTTTGGGTTGGGTTTATCCAACATGCCTGATGCAAATGAGCACTAAACCCACCCAGCTGGGATATGGTGACTGGGGAAACACGGGCAGCCTGATACCCATCAGAGGGGCAGAACAGCCGCTTTACCACTCTGGATCCGGTGCTGCACCACCAGCCCCTGCAGCATCCCCGCTGCAGCCCCCACGGCACCTGCAACGCCGTGCCTGAGGTTTCTGACCGGGCCACTTATTTTTCCTTTCAAAAGGGACGTCCAAGCCTTCTGTAAACAGGCGCATGGTTATAAAGCTCTGGGGACGATGGCCAAGATGCCTCTGCCCATGCCAGCTGGCTGTGTGTTAATCGGCAGGCACTGAGCCAAGAGCTGGCATGGCATTAGGGGAACGATGCTGTGGTGCTGGCATTTCTGGGTGGAGGTCTGTCCCAGACATCACGGAGCCTCTCAGCGATGGGGAGGCCTTGTCCCGGGGCTGAGTGAACCTGAGGGGTGAATTTATGCTCTGCAAAAGTCCCGGTGGAACCGGGACATACTAATGCACTGAGCTGTGAAAAGCTAGCACCAAACACAGCCTCAAAGCCTGGCTCGTGCACGGCCACCCCGCGTGGCAGGGGTCTCATGGGAACGGTGGGAAATCCTTACCGATGGCCTCCAGGATCAGCGTGTACGATGCCACAGTCTCCCTGTCCAGACCCACGACTGTCCTGACAACCCCGTCCCTGAAGCCGACGCTGAATTTGCCATCCTGGTTCCCACCTGCAGTGAAGGACAAGGACCACGTTACCCGTTGTCTGGATGCAGGGAGCAGAGCCCAGGCTGCGGGGGATGCTGCAGCCTGGGCAGGGGGTCAGCCCAGCCTTGGAAATCACCAGCACTCAGCATTTTCCAGGGTTTTGAGAAACGCAAGCGTAGGGCGAGCTCATCTCGTCCTAGGCAAAGCTTCTCTGCAGCAAAAGCGGGCAGAGCACCATCTCCCCGGCCCACCAAACGCCGTGCCTGCCCCACAGCACGGGCAAAGAGCGATGGTTAGAGGAAAAGCTGAATCATAGAAAGGCCAGATCACTTCCTGAATGCTTCGGAAGCAAACCGGGGTCACTTTGCTGTGGCGTGCGGTACTTGTGGGACAACACACACCTTTTCTCTCATGGGAGAAGCCAGAAGGGCCAGGAGATGAAAGACAGGGCTGCTGTTGTGAGAAAAGTGGTGACGCTTCTATTTCCGCCCTC